GGTGTAAGCAGACAGTCATTACAGTCAATTATGCACAAAGATTTTGACTTATTCCCATATAAAATTCAAATGGCCAACAAACTAAACGCTGCAGACTTGCCGTTTCGCTTGGAATTTTGCCAAAAGACGCTTCAAATGGTGGAAGAGGATGGAAACATGTTGAACTGTCCTGTCATGACGAGGACCATTTCGATTTAAAAAAACAAAATTGTCGAATATGGAGTGCTTCCAACCCACAGATACTCCACGAGACGGAATTGCATCCACTTCGTGTCACAGTGTGGTGTCCAGTTTCATCACGTTGCATTGTCAGGCCCTACTTATTCGAAGAAAACGGTCAGTTACGGTTACTGGAGACCGTTACTTGAGCATGTTGAGAGAGTTTTTCTATCCAGAATTACGCCAAATGAGAATTTCTTTCAACTCTGTGTGGTTTCAACAAGATGGGGCAGATCCTCACCTAGCCCAACCTCTTATTACAGAATTGCGACGAAAAATTTCCCAATAAGCTGATATCCAGAAACTCCACATTTCGTTGCCCACCCAGGTCGCCTGAGCTTACTGCTCCTGACTTTTTCTTGTGGGGTTATTGCAAACAGGAAGTCTACAAAGCAAAACCAACAAATTTGAATGAACTAAGGCAATCCATTCGAGAAACAATTGCGGCTATTCTTGTCTCAACTCTCCAAGCAGTAATGAACAACTTTTTGGTAAGATGCCGCACATGCATCAACGAGAAGGGGGGGCATTTAAATTCCATTAGTTTTAAAACTAATTAAGCTATATTTAATAAAATTGAATGAGCTTTAACATGCATAAAAGAAAAATGAATTCCATACACTGAAAAAAAAAAAATATTATTTGAGTTTCTTAATGTAGCAGAATTCATCAGCCCCCCTGTATGGTATAGTAAAAGCCAAATGGACCGACGATGCAAACTCCAATACTTCTTCCACTGTTTCTAAATGCATTCAATTAGCAAGGATCTAGGTATAACTACACCTGAGGAAAAGTCTATTTCTTTTGCCCCATAATGGCTACTCAAAGAATCTTCGTTCGAGCTACATCTTCAAAAACATCATAAAAATAACACCAATTCCAGGGTATATAAAAGTTTTTTCAAAGAGCTCATTGTGCAATACTACTTAGATTGGCAACTCATTTTTACTGACGCTTCGAAGGCCGACWTCTACACGTCTTTTTCTAGTGTTGATAACGTTGGAAATACGTTAAAAGCTGGACTCCTGCCCAATTACAGCTTAGGATACACCGCAGAAGCAGCAGCCATCTATAATGCGCTATCCATAGTACAAAACTCTAACTTAAAAACATTAATATGTACTGATAGCAAGTCTACAATCTCAGCTCTACTAAATGCATCTAACAAATCCTATCTCATTGCGCAAATTAGAAACATACTAATTGGGAAAACAAACATAAAAATTATGTGGATGCCTGGACACGCCGCTTTTACTRAAAATGAATGGACCGATCAAAACGCCAAATTGGCGGCAAAACAGACATTGATTGTCTTCGACTGCATCAAAAAAAAAACGACATAATCTATTTCATCGCTTCAAAACAAAAAGCTATAAGAAATAATAAATAAATAAATAAATAAAATAAAAAAAATACTATACTTTTTTATTTTATTTTCCTTATGTATATACTATATATTTAAGAATACACACAGGAAATTTCATATCGTTCCAGTGAATATTTTCGAAGTTACCCGCAAATTTGAAAAGTCGTTTCAGAGTGCTTGGAAACACAAGGTCAAACTTTAGACGCGTTTTTCTCTAAATGGTGTTTTCAAAGTCGGTGACCAACATGACCCGAAAATGGCTTAGTCTAAAATTTGAACCCGAGGTTCTTAAATATTGTTTTTTGTAATTAAACGTAGATTTATCCTCGCCGATAAATATTTTTTTGTATAAACAATTTAAGGCTGAAATTTTGTTGACCGCCATTTTGTTAAAAACCACATTAGGAACTTAATAAACATATGTAAATGATAAGAATGACGGGAAAAGTTGAAAACCGGGGTACTGTCTGTCTGTCCATCCGTCCGTGCAAACTGTAACTTGAGTAAAAAATGAAACTTAGTATGCGGGTTCCTTAGTACAAAAACGAGTTCGTAGATGGGCGTAATCGGACCATTGCTAACCTCACAAAACGCCATTAACCGGATATCTATAAAATGCTATAACTAAATTGAGAGATACAATAATAATTTCGCTCATAGGATCGCAGTAGCAAGGGACACCTGTAGGAAAAAAGTTTAAAAGGAGGTCTGGCCCTAATCTCTAATAAATTTAATATACACATGCCATAAACTGGTAAAGCTAACAACTTGGATGAAATCGGTTGATAACCGAGCTCAGTCCCCATATAACGTTGCGATTAAAAACTGCTAAGAGCGCGATAACTCAATATATAATTAAATACATCAGATACAACTTTACCGGCTGATTTYACTCCATGTGATTGGTAATTGAAACCCAACTAAACTTATAAGAGTGGGTAGAAAAATTCGGGTCAATACTACCCCAACTCCCATATACTACATATAATTATTTAAGTTTCTCTACCAAACCTTATGACGAATATGTCGGTTAGCGTGTTAAGTATTTAGAGTACATGTATATAAAATTTTGCTTGGATTCCGATCCAATGGTTGACATTTTACACMTTAAGGTATCTACCCGGCTTTCATTCCTGCGAGTGGCACGAGCACAAAATGTTCGGTTGCACCCGAACTTAGCTATAAATATGTAGCTTAGCGTATTAAATATATATAGTACATGTATATAAAATTTTGCTTGTATTCCGATCCGACGGTTGACATTTTCCACCTTAAGATATCTGCCTGCCTTTGATTCCTGCAAGTTGCAAGAGTATAAAATGTTCGGTTGCACCCGAACTGACCCTTCTTTCGCATTGCTAGATTTGATATTTTTACGAAATAAGAATATCAGCTTAGATCGGAATGGTTGTTATATTTCGCTCGGTCATGACATTTGATTCATTTCATTTCCTGCTAAACATTTTAAAGTTCTCCATTTGATTTCGCGAAGATTTTTATTCAAAAGCAGAAATAAAAAACATGTAGACTAAATCATGATGTGGAAATATAGAGTATTTATCGGATATATGCACCACGCTTATAAGCACAACTCTTTTATAAGCACTAAAAATAAAAACATATAATTTCCGCATTTAAAGTATACATAAAACTTTTCGATATATGCATTCCGCTTATAAGCACAACTTGGATATAAGCACCAAGAATTGTTTTCAGCTTAAAATATCCCTATAAAAATTACCTATATAGGCACAGTCATAAAAACAAAGATATTTTTGATTGCTCGTAATATGATATGGCAGCACTTTTATTATTATGTAATCGATGTTTCTGGTTTGCACATCTTTATTAATGTCAAAATGTAATACTCTGTGTTAAATATAAATGTTCGCTATCAACAACTAATCGTATAATTCGTGAAAAAGAAAGACTTTCTGCGCAAAGTACTTTGAAAAACTTGAACAGAAAGCGCAACAGATTTAGCACCTCAATAGGAATTGACCGTGCTGTAACCATTTGGTGTAATCAAATGCGTTCATTAGGCGCAGTAATATGAGGCACTATGRTCCGGGAAAAAGCTGAATAATTGGCCGTCAAGATGGATGTAGAATTCGAGCCCACTCTTCGTTGGCTGTACCGATGACAAAAGCGTGACGGCATTTCAGTGAAACAATTTCATGGAGTGGGTGCATCTGCGAATATTAAACGCGCCAATGACTTTTTTGAATTGCTACCCAATTTAATCCAGAATTACAGCGCTAAGGATTTAAATCATCAAAGGAGCGCCTGACGATCTGCTTTTTTGCAATGCATCTGGGGAAACAAAAAAAAATGTTCGTGATTGGAAAACCAAAAAATCCACGATGTTTCAAAAATAAGACCTTGCCAGTACAGTACCTTTCACAGAAAAATGCATGGATGACTCAAGATATATGTACCCCTATTCTAAATTCCTTTGACAAGGAGATGCACAGTCAAAACAGGAAGGTAATTATATTCATCGATAATGCCGCTCCTCACAAGCCAGTATCTTTAAAAAATGTGGAAATGTTTTATCTGCCGGCAAACACCACATCAATTGTGCAACCGCTCGATCAAGGCATTATCCATGCTTTTAAAGCATATTATCGCCAAATGATAGTACGGAAGCAACTACCTGCTCTTGAAAAAGGAAACACGGTTGGAGATTTAAGAAATCGTTCAACTTATTGACAGCGATTCATATGATTAAAAGTGCTTGGTGGATGGTTAAACCTGAAACGATTGCCAACGTTTTTAAAAAGGTATGCATTACTTTATTTTATATAATTTTTATGTTTTCTTTTTATATAATATATACTCATTTCTTACAGTGCCAAATTTGTTAAAGAATCCTTCGATGTTGAAGAGCTTTCACAAGAAGCAGATGGAATAGTTGAACTTGTGAATAGCGATGAATTTCTTCACGAGATGAGTTTCGACCCATGATGAAAAAAATATATATTTTGAAAATCGTAGGCTGTGTTCGAGCTGCTTCATAACTACCGCAATACAGGAGTCCTGTTACTAACTTGATACTCATCTGATACCTCGCTAATACTTTGCTCATAAACGTAAAATACTTTTTCAGAAATATTGAATTATACTCTGATGATATCTTTTATTACATTAATATATTATATCAAAGATAAAATTAATATTTAATACATAATTCATATAMAATTCCTCCTCCAACTTATCACGCATTCAAAATGTGTGACTATGGCAGCGTTGTGAAAATTTTCGTAGTAATATCACAACCAACACACCCATACTTTGCATACTCACCTCGATTTTACTTAGATTGCCTTTTATATTTAGGAATTAGAGAAATTTTAATCAACGATTCCGCATATGAAATTGGTTAGAATTACAAAATTTTTGACAAATTCTTTGTTGGATATTGGTGGTGTACCGACTTAAGCAGCTGCTGTAAATAAACTGTTGACAGATCGGGCTCATATTTGGCATAGTAATTGAAGACAGTCCAAGATACATTTTTTTTTTAATATCATTTACCCGAGGAATTGAATTAAAATTTCCGGGTGCTGAAAGTTAGATTATCTTTGTTAGGTGTATGAAGGCTAGGGGAAGTTTTGGCCGAATTTTATCAATTTATGACACAATGTAGTCCACATATTCCATAAAAAGGTTGAAAGATTACTTAAAGCAACAATGTTTTTCTGGTAAATTTTATTTCGATAAATCAACGTTTGCTAATTAATTATAAGGAATTTGAAATTTTATTTTATGCGAATTAGACATGGTAGTTGTTCGATATTCACAATGAATTATCGATATTTGGTTAAAATTTGTCAAGTAGCTCCTGAGATATCGGTGTTCACTTAAAGGCGAAGCACGCCCGTTTGCCCAGTTTTGACACCAGTTACTAAGAGGTGCTTTTGTTTCATGTAGAATGTTCTGGCTTATTATTTAGAAATCTACGGCACTTTTAGTAGTTTTCAAAAAAATGCATTTAGAAATCTACGGCACCTTTAGTAGTTTTCAATAAAACCTTTTATGAGTGGTGGCTTTAGTAGTTTGTGAGATATTCACATGCCGCCCCCTGCAAAGATTCCCTGTTGGGAACATTAATGTTGAGCGTGCCAATGAAAAATGTATAGCAAGTTTCCCTAAGATATCTTAATTATAACATACGTTATCATTCACACAGTCAAAGGTAGACAGTCAGCCAAATTCAACACTTCTCGTTATCCTATTCTTCATGATGTGAAAAATAGTGTACCTAGAATATAAATAATGAATTTACTATGCACTACAAAACAATTTCTTTGTTAACAGGTTACAAAAAAATTAATGCACTGTCTTATAAATCGCTACCAAAAAGTAACAGCTGAGGACTGAATAGCTTGTAGGCTAACATAAAAAATTTTGTTTGTTTGATAAAATTTGTGTGCACAACTTTTTAAATATTTCTTTGCTATGTTAAATAAAATATTGTACCTTACTAAAATTACTGTTAATAGTACGGCTAATATTTCCATTCTTTGTAATTAGCGTGCCGTTGAACTCACTTCGCTGAGTAGTTGCGCGCGATAGCTCATTCCATCAAGTGTTTGAGTATATAAGCGAAGGTTGGATGAGCTCATATTTTGTCGATAGAAAGACAAGAAATTTTTTACATTTAATATTTTTAACATAAAAAGGTTATTATTCTTAAATTTTTTTCATAAAATTGAATATACTTAGATGAAACCGATAGGACGAATACGTCTTTGTCTCAGTCACTGGAACGACAAAATAATTAGGCAAATAAGGATAGGTTCATGTGAGAATGCGGTTGAAATCAATAATCAGCTTCGGAATAATGATCACACACAATGTTTTTAATGAAACAATTCGCAACGTCTTACGCGATAATGGCTCGAAGGGTCGTTTCAAGGTTAAGAACAAAGAACCATAAAAAACTGAAGGAAAGTCACTATATCACATCGTCTTCTTTCTCCATTATTAAATCAACGGCCACTTGTAGTTTAAAAAAATCAAACTGACTCCTAAAAACTTTCTGATATAAAACTATACTTTAATATAATTTTATTGTTTGTTTCAACACTATACTACTTCTAAAAACTTGTGCACTCATTACTTAATATTTTAATCTAAATTTTGTTTTTAATCTGTATATACGTTATATATAATATATTCAAAAATATACAAAATATCGCTGCATAACTAATTAAACATATTTTGTTAAATATTCTGTAATTTGATTTGGTACTAATTTGCAAAAACTAATAAGCGAAAATGGAATTTTGAGTTTCATTTACAGTGAACCAAAAATGTTTACATACACCATACCAGTTCTATTAAATTACGACTCTTTTATTTGTTATAAAATTAATAAATTTTTAATATTTTTATCCATGTATATTTAACATTAAATATAGCATATCAAAACTTTTTTTGTTTACATAAATAAAAAAATTAATGCTAAAGCTTAAAATGACCTTATTCATATCAAAAAAGTTACAAAACTGAATATTGTTGCTAAACCGGCGAAAACACCAAATTGATTGGAACTCAGGACAGTCGAAGCTGATTGGACTATTATTAAAGCACAACTATTAAAAACCGAACAAGCTGTGTAAATGAAAAGCAGTTTAAAAATAAACGACGAAACATATCCAAATACTTTTATAAAGATTCTGTGGAAGCGCTTATAAAAATGATAAGCCAAATTTGTGATTATTCGTCTATACCCAAACAAACTTTTTAAAGCCGTGTATGTAAACTACAACTTGCATAAATATATTTGAAAATTAATAAAAAAAATATAAGCTTCATACATAACGTAATTTCTCAATACAAAACGAAAATATGAAAATTTGATTGAAAATTAATAATAAATAATATAAGGTTTATAACGTAGAGCAATTTTAGTTCGGAGAACAAGAAAAAATCACACGGAGCCAAATCTGCTGAACACGGTGGTTGATCGAGGGTATTTATTGCGATTTTGGCTTTAAATTTGGTCAATTCCGATGGTGCATTATCATCGTGTGAATAAATGAAATGTTCTTCCACAATTTTGGTCGTTTTCGATGTTCTCACGCAAACGCCTTAAGACGGAACAAATTCATGATGCACTAAACCACAAAATTCGAAAAAAAAAAACAATGAGCATCACCTCGACTTTGAGCGACTTTGGCGTGTTTTTTGGTTTCGGCCTTGTTTTCTCCCTTCCATTCCGATAGTTGTTCACTTGTTTGCATATCAAACTCATAAACCTATATCTCATCGGTAGTTGCAATCTCCATGATTGTGGGATCGCAATTCGTACGATCAAACATGTCTAAATGGACCTATTTATGGTAGTTTTTTGAACAAATTTCAGCTTTATCCGGACAAGCTAAGCAAAAACTCGTTTCTTACCCAAAATATGCGCCAARGTCATTCGAACGGACTTGCAAGATATACCGAGCTCTCTTGCCATGTCTCTAACACTTGCCGGACGATTTGTTTTCCAATATACGCAATGATTTCGGACTCGAATTTTCGTTAGAAATACAAAATTCTGGACAAATTTTTGTTTGATATTTTTATCCAATCGCAACGTACTAATGAGGTGTACCGACCTAAGCAGCTGCTGTAGACGAATTGGCTGATAGACCGCGCTCATAATTGGCATAGCAATCAAGGAGAGCCAACTTAGCAAAACACATTTGTATACCCTGAACGGGGTATATTAAGTTTGTCATGATGTTTGTAATACCCAGAAGGAAGCGTCGGAGACGCTATAAAGTATATGTATAAATGATCAGTATGTTGAGCTGAGTCGATTTACCCATGTCCGTCCATCCGTCCGTCCGTCTGTATATATACGAACTAGTCCCTCAGTTTTTAAGTTATCCTTTTGAAATTTTGCAAAGGTCATTTTCCCTTCAAGAAACTGCTCATTTGCCGAAGCGGCCAATATCGGACCACTATAACATATTGCTTCCATATAAACTGAACGATCGGAATCAAGTTCTTGTATGGAAAACTTTTACATTTGACTATGTATCTTCACCAAATTTGGTATAGATTATTTTCTAGGGCAACAAAGTAATCTCCGAAGAAATTGTTCAGATCGGTTAACTATAGCATATAGCTACCATACAAACTGAGCGATCGGAATCAAGTTCTTATATGGAAAACTTTCACATTTGACGATATATCTTCCCGAAATTTGGCATGAGTTATTGTTTATAGAAACAATGCAACATCGGAAGAAATTGTTCAGATCGGTTAACTATAGCATATAGCTACCATACAAACTGAATGATCGGAATCAAGTTCTTGTATGGAAAATTTTCCCATTTGACGTGATATCTTTACGAAATTTGACATGGATTACTGCTTACGATAATTATATAATATCCGAAAAAATTTTAAGATACAATACAATAGTTGAAGAAATTTTGAAGGTCAGATAACAAAACCTACCATACAAACAGAAAAATCAAAATCAAGTTCATATATGGGCAACTTTGGCTAAATATCATTACAAAATTTGACATGAATTACTTTTTTCATTAAATAGCAAATCAATTTTATCTGCAATGTAATATAGTTTGTAGGTGTAATGGACCTAATTAATATTCTACATTATTTTTTCTATATTGTATTTAGAATTAGCCACTATACAAATAATATATTCTAAACAAATGGTTATTATTATAACAGAAGAATAAGAAGAAAAAATACTTTTTTTTCATTTGCCATAAAATAATTAA